GTTTTCGCATCTGCCTGAAACCCGCCTTCTTGATGCTGCTGCAATGCAAAGCCACCGAACGGCTAGCAACGTTTGCTGAAAGCAGTTTCACCATTAGCTGCATACAGAAGGCACTCAGCACACATGCTTCATACGTACTGAAGGCGAATAAATTACAGCCACAATACTTATTCCCAAAATGTCCACTTTTCAGCACACCACCTGCCTTTAGCGGTGAAACCTTAAGAAGCAGCTACTGAAATCTAGCCAAGTTCAGTTAAATCAAAGTAAACTTTACTAACCAAATTCAAATGCTAAAACTTGAAATGACTTCATGGCCGAATCTCAATCGACTACACGAAGTGTTAAAAGGGGTTACAATTTTCTGCTTAATTTTAACGCTGTTAGTGAATCGGATGATATTTAGAACCAATACCAAACCCTGCCCTTGCATAATACAATTATTAATTAGTAAATAACTAACATTCAGTTACCTACGTATTTCCCTACTAACCCCCTAAGTTACTTATTTCCTTAATCAGATGTATATTTTCTATCTCGTTACTACTGGCAGATTTACTTACTTCCTTACTTACATATATCTTGGTTTCTTCACTGATTCTGTTACTTATAAGTTTATTACTTAGGTAATCGATACATCTTAATGAGGTCTGTTTGTCAGTATCAGTTATAAATTTCTACTATACAACAAAGGTACTTCTGTTACACTCGACACAGCTGTGTACCTGAGTAAAGGCCACAGGCTTCCTTGAAGCACCAAGGCTCGGACAATCGGTCTGCGATGCTCAAGTCATCGGAAATGGCCACCACGTCGTCCAAACTGCTGCGTAGATCCAAGTAATTTTCGTGCAGGAACAGTATGAAGAGTCCGTCATCGGTGCCGCTCAGCTGCAAGATGTCTTCCGGAGTAAGGCGGTCGATCAGCTCTGGGTCAAGGGCCGCTGGTGGATTTACCAAACAGGTGTTCGGAGGTGTCTCCCGGAGACACCTGCCGTAAAGGAATTTACCGAGGGCGTGGAAGAGCACCAGCTTCACGTCCTTTTCGCAGTCCTGCAGCGAGACGGCCGGTCGGCAGACAGCAAAGCGAAGGCTGTTGATCGCTGCTCGAATGTCCCCGTGGCTGGAATGAATGACTGACTGGAGATCGACACGCGATGCATCTGACGCCACGCCTGGAGGTAGCCTCTGAACAATAAGCCTAAATGCTAAAACAGCATTACGTCACAAATGGATGGATGGACGTAAAAACTCACGCTGATATTACACTGCCATTGGTTCTTATTCACAGTAAGCATGATCAAAAAATATCAATGCCTTTAAAGCAATGTGTACAATACGATGATAAGTTCTAAAACAATTAATGATGATGCCGATGCCAGTGAGTCGAAAACGTCACGTTTTAAATAAAGACATTTTTCTTTCTTACATGTACGTTAATTAAAGGATGTGCTTGCTTACAGTACGACAATATCGCAAATCTTCTTATACTACAGAATTAAGAATGAAACAATTATTCATATCTTATTCCATAAAAACGGCACATTAATGGACTTGTACACTATGCAGCTGATGGCAATCTGTAAGTCAACACACGCTGATTAGAGCAACAACAGGAAAACCTTAAACGCAATACCTTGCATGCAGAACAAGCCGCTTGATGCTCCTTTGTCGAAAGCACTCTTCAGAGAAAAACATGAATTATGGTCATCTGCTTTTGAAGATAAGTCTGCGGTCAGGCTGTCGTTCTTACAGACCTAACAGTTTTAAAAGAATGGTACTACCTTGGAACCCTCTCTTCAACACGGCCAATAAGTGCAAAAACGGATTTTATGAATTTAACAAGATAGGGAGAAACAAGCGAGGTGCCGTGAAATAGTTGACGTCAAGATTCAAGAAGAGCAGTGTGGCTTCCGGCCCGGTCAAAGCACCTCTGGCCATATATTTGCCCTGCGCCAGATTGTTGAGAAGTCGTGGGAGTACGCCCAGCCGGTGTACATGTGTTTT